CAACTTCACACACAGTTATCTGAAAGGAAAGACCTTCAATTGAGAAAATGCTTCCGTAAGATCCAGCTGTAAGGCATTTTCATAGTTAGTGATTGATGGGGGAGAGCCCAGCTAGCCCATTTTGGATATGGCCATCTCTGGGCTGGTGGTCCTAGGTTCTATTAAGACAGCAGGCTGGGGAAGCCACAGGGAGCAGGTCAGTGTTGTTCAAATCTTAGATGGTCTTATAATAAGAAATCCAGAGCCAGGTGAAGGCTGAAAGACCAGAGAAGCAGAGAAAACCACAGCCACCACCTATGACCTCACCAACTCCACGAATCCTCTGACTGAAATCCTCTGAGTCCTCATCCGAAAGAGTCTTAGCTGAACTGCTTTAGTTCCGGTTTCCTCGTGCTTTCTATACTTTTCTCAATCCCAGTCACTTCCTGGAATTAAAGGCACATGTGCTTCCCAGTACTGGGATTAAAAGTGTGTGCCACCACTGCCTGGCTCTGTTCCCGGTATGACCTTGAACTCACAAAGATCCAGATGGATCTCTGCTTCCTGAGTGATAGGATTAAGGGTGTGTTCCACTACTGTCTGGCCTCTATGTCTAATCTAGTGGCTCGCTCTGTTCTCTGATTCTTGGGCAAGCTTTATTAGGGTACACAATAAATCACCACAGGCCAGTAAGCAACACTCTTCCATGGCCTCTGCATCAGCTCCTGCCTCCAGGTTCCTGCCATGTTTGGGTTCCTGTCCTGACTTCCTTCCATGATAAACATCAATATGGAACTGTAGGCCAAAGAAGCTTTCAGCTTCCCTATTTTCTGTTGTCCAGTTTCTGGAAAATATTTAAAATTAAAAGCAAAACACTGTGTTTTGGTCTCAGGTTATAGGAATCGGTGGGGGAGGAAAGCGAGGGGAAATCTGGGCCTTTTTTAAAGGCCGAAGGAAGATGATTTGTATAGGCGAGAGTCGGGGCGAGGGATGGAGGGTAGTGGGGGTGACTATGACTCAAAGTACAGTAATATATATATATATATATATATATATTATATATATATATATTATTTTGTACACTAACTAAAACATTATTTTTATTAAATGGGAATTGGGGAGGGATTTGAATCAGTTTGTTCAGTTGCTCAGTGCGTCCCCGTCCGTCCCCCCCCTCGCTTTAAATAAGAAGAAAGTTTTACAGCACCCCCACCCTTTATCTGATTTGACTCAGATGAGAGCTTCGCAACAGTAGCACAATCTAGAATTCTGAGCTAGAAAACTCCTTGTGGTGGGGTCTGTCCTGTGCTCCTAGCATGATTAGCAGTGGTCCCAGTCTCTGTCCTCACTGTACCTCACTGCACCCTGTTAGATCGTTACAACCGAATATGCCGCCAAATACTGACCAGTGCTCTTTCAGCGCAAAATCAGACCTATGCAGAGAGCCACTGATTGAGAAACATCTAGGAAACTCTTAAAACGTATTGAAAAATGATCTCCCCAACCTGCAAATCCCTAAATAAATCGCACCCCCGTCCGCCGCCACAGAGTGCTCACTTTATTGTTTTAAAGGCAGAACCTTGCTGCATAAAACTAAGTTTCCATTCGCAAGCTCTTAAATGCAATCCTAACCACCTAACCTGCTTTGATCTGGACCTATCAAACAAGTACTGCCAACAGTCTTCAGATCCCATTAGTGCTTTAGCAATTTCAGTATCAGACGAGGTGTTTTTGCCCTCTTGTGGCAGAAAGTAGTAATAACACAAATTGGAGGCCAAACGTGAAATCCCTTGCCACACATAAAATGTCTAGTTTACCATAGAAGGGAATGGAAATAGAACCTGCAGGATAATTCTTACCAACGGGAGACATTAAAAATTGGATAAAATATTAAATGAGTTGGTTACTGAACACTTTAAAGCTAATAGATTACAGAAGGGAATAAAAGAACGCTAAGAAAAAAAAAAACATAAAAGATGTTGAAAAACATTGAATGCTGAGTTAAAACACCAGTAAAGTATCCAAATAGGACATCTTTATCACATGCCTTCTTCCCCAAGAGGGAACATCACCTAAGAAAGGATTGAAAGATTGTAAGAGCCAGAAAGGAGAGAAGATTGCTTCAAAACAATGTCTTCAGGACATGACATTTGCAGTTTTGAACTCACAGTGACTAAGGCTTCCTGCACAGACCTACATAAAATTAAGCCAGTCAACACTACAGCATAAAAGGGAGGGGACCCAGGGTCCCCCACCTCCAGCTGAGGAGCTACCCACAGTTGATGGTACATAGGAGAGGAAGAGTCAGGTTTCTTCTTGTTTGTGACCCACAGTGCGTTGTCCATGGTCCAGAGGGCAATGCCCTACAACAGTGGGACTCAATGGGTTATTTAAAAAGGAGGAGGAAAAAGAATCACATAAAGAAGGGAGTTCTGATATGGCTTAGATACGTTGTATTCACATTGCAATTACCGATGAACCATTTAAATAAATAAACCTGGATTGGTTCATTCTAGCACTACAATTCCAAACAAGTAATCTAACTGAGCTTTGTGCCCCTAATCACAAACCAAACTATAATAAATAAAGTGCAGGACTAGAAGACCATTTGGAAACCCTCCTTAAAAGAGGAGGTAACATAGTTCCAGAATGATCTGGCAAAGTCATTGTTAGGAAGAGTCATGCAAGTTTTTTATTTGTTTGTTTGGTTGGTTTTACTTTGTTTTTCTAATTGCCCTCCAATGGAGTCTATGATCAAATATAAAGAGGAGTTAACTGGTGGTAAGACAACTTTTAAAAAATGCATATACATACTCGCTTATATTTCAAATGTTTCACAGAGTGATACTCATTGACAGTTGTCTAGCAGTAATTATCTTATCCAGGTTCTGGTGCTCCTAAGTACAGAGTGAGGTCAGTACAGAAAAGATCAGTAACAACAGGAGACAAATTTGGGAAGAAAAGGGCCTTGGCTAATCCCACAGCAGGCTCGAAAACAGGGCTCACACAGCATCAGGTAGTCTGCTCCCTCCCAAGAAGAAAGAATGTCCTCCTGAATAAGTCTTTAGGGACACTGCTCTGGGAAAGGGCTGTGACTTCCAACAAGATTAGAGCATTTTCCAGAGTGAATGCAGAATGTGAGGCTGCTGTCGAAGGAGCCAGGGGAAATGGGAGATAAAAGCCTTTCTAAAGGGAATCTGACGCCACTTAGCAACCTCAACAGAGTAGGCAAGCCTGCATGGAGACTGGGCTCTCCCACACTCAGTCTCTGAGTTTGTTTGTAGAATGAAGGAAAAGAGACACATCCAGTGAGGAATCTCTGCACTCCTAAAAAGCCAATGTTCTGCTTTGGGTATCTTGACACTGCTACCTTGCTCAAACAACGAAGCAATGGGAAAACTCAGACCTGGATTCAAATATTGGCTCTATCGGTTTTGTTTTTTTTTTTTTTTGTAAGTTAATTGGTCTCTAATGTCAGCTTTCTCTGAGACATGATTTCTAGACACATCTTCTCTGTGTGCCTATTTCTGTTTGAATCTTGGCTGAAATGTTTCATGCCCATCCATCACTTAAACATTTCACTTTCTCTTTCTGCTTTTGCATGTTTTTGATTTTATCTAATTGGTTTATTTTGTATATATAAAATTGAATCGTAAGAAATTGACAATACTCCTAACATTATCAATGTCATTTCTTCTTTTACTTGAAAAAAATTTGTACAATAGATTCTGGTCACACTTTCTTCTCTCCCAACTCCTCCCGGGTTCTCCCCAACTCCTCTCTCATGCAACTCCATTTCCTTTCTTTTTCTCTCTTTAGAAAACAAACTAACAGGCAAACAATAAATAAACAAAAAAACCACAAGAAACACACACACACACACACAAACCCCACAAAAACACAAAATCAGAAATGATAATATACAAGCAAATCAATACGACAAAAAAAATACCCAAACAAAGCAATATTGAACAAAAAGTCTACAAAAAATCCTATAGCAATATTAATTTTATTGCTAAAAATTGATTTTATATGGTTCATTCAAATATTATGTTTTCCACTTACAAGCTTCTTGAGGACAAAATCTGGATGTTGGCTATCTTCTATTTGATCATGATTCATTTGAACTGTATGAGTCTTCTGAAAACAAGTCATCCCACTGGAAATAAGCCTGTAAATTAAGGTCTTTCAACCTAGCAGACAAAACACTGGAGTTCCCAGGCATTACATAACCTGTGGAACATCATGCAGCCACACAATAGAACTGGGAGGGCTAAACCCTAAATTCCAGACAAGTCAAGTATTTGTTCCTCAAGAGGAAAAAGCCTGCATGTTGAATCAGTGCTTTGAGAGGACTTAAAAAAAGCTACAAAGTTATTTTCTTGTTTGGCTGAAATTGCCAAAAATGCATACTATTATATAAATTTGAAAAATGGAGACTAGCTCATTCAAATATATTTTTTTCGTCAGACTTTTACTACTTTGTTTCTTATATTTGGAGTCATTACTTCAAGTTCATGGAAACAGAAGATGAAGACACCCTAACCCCTTGAGTCAAGAAATAGCAGGAAAGGGTTTATTTCATCTCAGAGGTCATCACTGAGGGAAGTCATGGCAGGAACTCAAGGCAGAATCCTGAAGGCAGGAACTGGAGCCAAGGCCATTGGGAGATGGCTACCAACTGGCTTACTCTCCGTGGTTTGTTTAGCCTGCTTTCTATACCATCCAGGACTACCTACTCAGGGGTGGCATCACCTACAGTGAGCTGGTCCTTCCACATTGATCATTAATCAGGATAATACCCTACAGACTTGACTCAGTCTGATGGAGACATTTTCGCTATAGAGGTTCCTCTTCCCAGATAACTCAAGCTTGTGTGGAGTTGTCAAAAAAAAAAAAAAGACAGTGATCTCCTTTTGCAGTTTTATGCAAAGGTGACAGCATTTTCTAACTATTATAACAGGACCCTTTGGGCTCTTTTATTCAAAGCTTTTTCTCCCACCCCCCTTCTCTTTTTTCAGTATTCCAAGATGTGCATGTCATGATATTTGTTGGGTTTGGTTTCCTCATGACCTTTCTGAAGAAATATGGCTTCAGTGGTGTTGGTTTCAATCTTTTTCTTGCTGCTCTGGGCCTTCAGTGTGGTACATTTGCACAGGAACTCCTTCACAACAAAGGGAAAAAATTTCACATTGGAATCAAAACGTGAGTATCTTTGAATGTGACTGCTTGTGCTCTTGCCTTCAAGTTCACATGTTGAAATCTTAACTCCTAAATCGAGAGACAACTAAATCTGAAGGCAAAAGCCTCATGATTTTGTGGGATTAGTGCCCCATTCAAAGCTACAATTTACTGCACTATTTCAGTCTAAAATTTGTTCTTTATTCAACTTATTCTTTCTTTCACCCTCAGTATGATAAATGCAGACTTCAGTACAGCCACGGTTCTGATTTCTTTTGGCGCTGTCCTCGGAAAGACAAGCCCCGTCCAAATGTTGATCATGACAGTTCTAGAAATTGCTGCCTTTGCTGGCAATGAATATCTGGTTACTGAAATATTTAAGGTAAGGGTGAGCTACTGTGCTCTGACTATCGGTGCTGGCTACCACTCTAAGTAAGGGCAAATCTCTACAGGAGGGCCACCAGAAGAAATAGTTAAAAAAAAATAATAACCACTCTTTCTGGATTTCTTATTGTAAAATGGGGTGGGGTGAGTAACATGTTATTTCATCTTTACAAAACCATGGAAGGTAGGCGTCATTGTTGTTACTATTAATCCACAGTCAAATGATCACAGATGCTAAGTGATTCACCCGAGTCTGAGTCTGAATTTAAACCACATTTTCCTAACTCTGTCACTCATTTTATTACACTGTGTTGCATATCAATAATTTAATTCCCACTTATATTTAAATGACTATGTAAATAGCACCATATAAACCCTTATATAGGCTCAATTTTTTTCTTCTCCATGAAAATGTTACTGATTCCCTCAAAGATAATAAATAGGCTACTTCTGACTACATTGGTGTACATTTTCATTTGTTTATACTTGTATTGAACATTTGATTCAAGAGCTAATATTTTAACTTTCTAAGTATTGGTGATTTACCAACAAAATAAAACTAGTTAAGGTTTCTGTTCTTGCAAAGCTTAAAGTATAGTGGGTTAGACAAAAAAAAACAAATAATTATACATTCATTCTATGCTGATTTTCTGTTCGTGACAAATTGTGTGAGAAACTTAAGGGAAGAAAGATACACTTTGGTTCGTGTGCTCAGAATCAATAGGCCCTTGGCTCCATTGCTTCTGGGCCCATAGGGAGGCAGATCCTCACATTGGTGGTATGCACTGGCATGAAAGAGCACACTTCCTGGTGGGTAGGAAGCAATGAGGAAGAGACTAGGGATAAAATCATTCTCCTAATAACATGCTTCCTACAGTTTTCACCAAGTCCAAACTGCCTACTCAATTATAGACCCTTCAGTCAATACATCCATTGAAGATACCAAATCTCCTTCATATTACAATCACTTCCCCAAAGCCACAACTCTGAACACCACTTCACTAGGGACCAAGCCTCCCCTCCCCACACATGAGCCTTTGGGAGACATTGCATACCTAAATTATAACATGCCCACTTACTCAAAGACATGGGAAATACATAGTAGGAAATGGGGGTTATGAGAAAGCTATTGAGAATAGATTGAAAAGCAAGGAAGGCGTTCTCTGAGGAAGTGATAGCAACACTAGTTTGTTAGCGTTTTACAAATCACTAAGGAAGGGACATGCACTTAATGCCAAAGGAAGCTCAAGAACAGGGGCTCATTGGTAGGGGACAGCTACAGGAGGAGCTTGAGTTACAACAGATGAGCATAGCTGGCCACTGGTGTAGCTACCATGGTAGTAAGAAGATGAGATTAACAGAGAGAGGCCCTGCATGCTCCATGTGTTGCCTAAGTGAAGACTAATTTGATAGATTCTGAGAAGGAAATGGGAAGGGTTCTTTTGCTACAAATATGTGAGCCTCTATGGAGGGACACAGTCTTACATAGTGTTTGTAAAGTCCAAATATAATTAATGGTCACCTATCTCTCTCCTGGAAATATATGGTAAAGAGAAGAAAGGTTTTTATATAGAAGTGTTCAGCAAGGCTGAAAGTTGAAGACATATATGTGCTACAGTGATGACTGAACTCAAGTGGATGAAGTTGCTCTTTAAGGGCACTGGATATTTGTCTAGTCAAATATGGAGCAAACCAGGAGATTCTTCTACTTGCACCACTTTGAAAATCTTAAATAAATTTGTGATGTTTTCCTACCTTAGTTTGCATAAGAATTTGCTCCTGGCTTAGCACTCTGAATTTTCTCTCTAGAAGCATAAAATAGAGAATACTGGATTAAATTCATATCAGATCCTAAATGCCTCTCTTCAAGTCAGTATTGGAATTCAGCTGGTCTTCATGTAGTATATAACAAAATGTAGAACCATGTGGTGAGGACTGGCCTTTTTAAGGTTCAAGTCTGAGTTATAGTTAAATGAATTTTAGCTACAAAGCCAAATAAATGTGGATCATTTTTATATTGTGTCAGGTGCAATATATCGTAGTTCATTGAATGTCTCTTAAACCTGAAATAGCCTAGCACATACTACATGCCCAGTAAATTCCTGGCTCTTTAGGAATATGGTTTAACCTAAGCACCAACACAATTCTATTAAGTGGATACTATATTACAGTTTCGTAAAACCTAAAGTTCATGGATGTTCAGTAATTTTTTAGCACCACATCCCAAGAAGTACTTCACCTTTGCATGTCTCAAGAGCTTGCCATACTTTTTTTTCTTATTTTACTTCCTCATTTTATCTTTTCTTTTACATCTCCCCCTAAGCAATTATTTCATTGTCCTTCTGCCTGTAAGGAGACCCATTTTCACCTCCATGTATGCAAATTTCACTTTGTCCCCGCAGGCCTCTGACACTGGGGCATCCATGACAATCCATGCTTTTGGGGCCTATTTCGGCTTAGCTGTAGCAGGCGTCTTATATCGCCCTGGCCTCCGCGGGGAACACAAAAACGAGGAGTCTGTGTATCACTCTGACTTATTTGCCATGATTGGTGAGTAGAATGAACTTAACCTGATTCTTGTCTGTACCCAAAGATGCTCAGAAGGCCTCTTTGGGTGATCACTTTGTTTTTTGGTGGGTCAGTGTTCCCTGTTCTCCTGGCTGATGATGATGAAGGCTAAAATCACAGACATCAATTTCCAGAGCAAAGCACCCTCTAACCTGATCTTCTCTAATAAAAACTAATACCATTTATGATTTACAGGAACACTTTTCCTTTGGATATTTTGGCCCAGCTTTAATTCAGCCATTGCTGAACCTGGAGAGAAGCAGTATAGGGCCATTATCAACACATACTTGTCCCTTGTTGCCTGTGTGATCGTAGCCTATGCCTTGTCCAGCCTTGTTGAACGCCGAGGAAGGCTGGATATGGTAAGTGTCAATATTAAACCAATGGAAGCTTCATTAAGTATCAACAGTTGCTTGGATAATAAATTAGGCATCAGAGCTGGGCTACCAGGACAAATCACAAAACAGCAGACTTCAAAGAATGTTTTGAAAATAATTTTCATTCATTCACTTACTATCTAATCTGCTAAGTTGAAGTCAAGGAATTTGCAGTTTGTAGGGTATGCAGTCATGTAAAACTCAAACATAAAAGGCTTTTTTTTTCTTTCATATTAAAACTAACTGCTCTTAACTCCATAGAAAGTTTCCCTCAATACTTGACTTGTCAAAGAGTAGGACAGGGGAGTAAGATGGTGGGTGTTGGTTCTATTTTACAACTGCAAGTGTTCAAAGGTGATAACTATGCTGTGTAGTCACTGATAAAGTTCATTCCTCTGGAGGATGGCCCCACACCCTCGAATATTTGAGCAGCACCAACTGTACTTTGTGGGATATCGAAAAAATGTGAAGTAGGGAGGGTGCATGTTAGGAGAATACAGGGGAGCTGGGGGAGGAAGGCAAGATGTAGTTATGATTATATTTCACTGTAGACATGAATGTTTTTTAAGGAAGATTTTAAAAACATAAACAATAATCCCAAATATAACTCTAGAAAAGGAAAATGACAATTTGGGTATTAATAAAAATCCAAATGAGATCCTTAGTAGTATTGAAGTAATGATCGTTTTATTTTACTGTATGTGTGAGATGCTGATGCGGGAGGGATACAGACAAGGGACATCTAGAAATTCTCTGAAGTAATTTTTGCAACTTCTATGTGCCCAAAAAGTAACATAACATCTTTTTTTTTTTTTTTTAAGTTCAACCCAGTTTGCCTTGAGTTTCTGCCTGGGAGTTAGAGAAATGGTCATACAGGAAAAAATAAAAATTAAAAACTCAGATCAAGCACTCTTCTTTTCCAATGCATGGAGGAAATGAATGCTGTACTGTATTTATGTATACATGATTTATGTGTTTTATTTCATGTTTATGGATGTCTTGCCTGAAAGCATATCTGTGTGCCACATGCACACAGTGCCCATGGAGACCAGAGGAGAACAATGGATCCCCTGTAACTGGAGTTACAGACATTTTGTTAGCCACTTTGTGGGTTATGGGAATTGAACCAGGGTCCTCTGGTAGAACAGCCAGTGCCCTGAAATACTAAGCCATCTCTGAAACTCCTGTAGTGCATATTCAAAGCAAGGTTGAGACCATACATTTCAGCTCTTTACAATTTGTGTCGTAAGAGACAACTGCAAATACATTTTTTAAAAGACCATACTCAACAGGTTTACTTTTAAAAATGACAAGACAGCCTACTCTTTGGGTAGACCAGACAGATTGTGACTTCTGAGAATTCTGGCAAACTGAAACTAGTTCTCTTTCTCCAGCCTCTGACATTTCTGGCCAGATTGTGTCT